TGGTTCAAAAATTGTGACTGAATATGGATTTAACCATGCCTAGTAGTAGAGGCCTGCATTATGGATGATAGATTATAAACATAAGTCTGAGTGATCAGTTAAGTACAGTGTCAGTTACTCTATATTCAATGTATGATATGTATATATATCATATATATAAGATATATATATATATATAAGATTTACTCTAGGCATGATTGTCAAGTAATTCTAGTCATGCAGCTGCAGTTTTAACCCCTTAAACCCGCAGATATTACTTATTTATTCACCTTAAAGTATATTATTCAGTGGCTACTATTATTTGTTCACTAGCTACATTGAAACTAATAGGCATGTAATTCTCAAAGTGAGAAATTTATGTCTGGATTTACTGAGTCATCACTGACTTTAAGGGGTTAAATAAGGATTCAGATTAAGACCATTTTCACAGAGAAACCAAAATCACAGCACAGCCCATCACAACACAACAGCATGACATTCACAAAGACACAGAAAAATATTTATGCCCTCAAGATTGCCAATTCAGAGAAATAGATACTCTCAACAGGACTGAATAAATAAAAGCAGTGATAGGTCTCTGTTTACTCATTCTTCTTCGGCGAAGTCTTCTTCTTGAGGGATTTGAAGAGGTCACTGTATTTCTGAGTTATCTCCTCGCCCTTCTTCTGGAACTTCTTTTCCAGCTCTTTCACCTCTTTCTCCTGCTTCTTGGTGACCTTCAGGTAGTTCTTGTGCTGCTGCAGTTCATCACAGGTCACAGAGGCCAGCTCTGTGTGTGTGCATGTTTGTGAGTGAGGTTGTGAGTGTGAATGTTTTTGTGTGAGAGACAGCAGAGAGACAAAGACGGTGAGTGAGACAGTGGGATTTTTAATTGTTTTTAGGTCATTTCAAGCAATACAATTTCAAGCATGCAAGTACAAGTTTTTTAAAATAATTTTTCATACATATATTTAACAGAAAATATACATGTTTAGGGTGTTTTACTTTAGACATCTACTGGTGTGTGTGCAATGTTAAGCCATTACCATTGGAACATAAATCATTGTGCTCTGGTTCACATCTTACACAGCCTACCCAGAGCTCCACAAAGCCCTGTACCCTCAGGTGCTGCACCAGCAGCATCCGCTGCCATGGAGGTTTCTGTACTGGGACCTGTAGCAGCAACCTGCGCAGGTGCCCCAGAGTCAACTACAGGAGCGTCCTGCTCTACACTGGGAGCTGGGTTAGAGTCTGGAGCTGCATTAACTTGTGGGTCTGGCTCCACTTTTGCAGCAGGCTCACCATTTGGATCAGCGGGATTCTCTGCCTCAGGGGTTTCAGATGGTGCAGGAGTTTCTTGGGGAGCCTCTTCTGAAGGTGGAGGTGCCTCAGAGGGAGGAGCCTCTTCTGAAGGTGGAGATGCCTCAGAGGGAGCAGCCTCTTCTGAAGGTGGAGGTGCCTCAGAGGGAGGAGCCTCTTCTGAAGGTGGAGGTGCCTCAGAGGGAGCAGCCTCTTCTGAAGGTGGAGGTGCCTCAGAGGGAGGAGCCTCTTCTGTGGGTGCAGGTGCCTCAGTGGGCAGAGCCTCTTCAGAAGGTGGAGGTGCCTCAGTGGAAGGAGCCTCTTCTGAGGGTGCAGGTGCCTCAGTGGGTGGAGCCTCTTCAGAAGGTGCAGGTGCTTCAGTGGAAGGAGCCTCTTCGGTGGGTGGAGGTGCTTCAGATGAAGGAGCATCTTCTGAGGTTGCAGGCTCCTCAGGATTTGGCTCAGTTTCAGAAGCTTGTGGCTCTTCATCAGCCAGTGCTGGCTGGTCATCTGACTTGGGATTTTCTCCATCAGTGGACTCTGGGGCATCTGATTTAGGCTCCGCATCTGAAGCAGGTGTTTCTGAAGAGTTAGCATCGCCCTCTGCTGGGGCCTCATCACCCTCAGGCACTGTAAATATATGGTTACAGGAAAAGAATCTATAAACCCAAAAAGTGGAAGACTATAAATGTTTTCTAACACTGAAGTTTATATATAGTCTACAAACTGTACTATTTAATTTGATGCTGATCTCTGATTAATACTACATATTTGTGTATATTTCCTACCTGTGGCTGGAACAGCTGCAGCACCAGGCATCTCATATTTGCTTACAAAGTTAGCACTCTGGAAGCAGATTAAGTCTATTTAGATAAATGACTCTTGCCACAATATATGAAGGACCTTTAGTCTGCTACTGACAGGCATCAACCATTTCCTAATTGATATTATTATTCTATAGCATTAGTAAAATTTTATTTGTGTGTGTGAAAACATGCACATTTTTTAAATTGAGTGGAAACATTCAATAACGTTTTGTGTGTTATCAAAGCTAAATGCCAATTTTGTGTGTAACTGTGTACTGCATTTAAAACTTGCGTCGTGTTTTGCAGGCTTCGTAGACTTTACTGGATTGAAGAGAGCATCTGTGAAATCTGAGAATCCAAACATGCAGAAAGAATTACAACACTGATAAAAACTTGTAAAAACTCAACATAAATATTTTAGAGAATTTCTTTAGAGAAATATTTCAGATAACTTAGTTTAGTTTTTGTGGTTGTGCATACCAGCAAAAGCAGCAGGAATGTAGTCCTTCACCTCAATGTAGACAAACAGGGCAGGGAGCATCAGAGGCATGTTACTCTCACTGCGCAGACAAAGATGATGAAATCCTGGAGACACACACACACACACACACACGCGTGCAGTGTATCATATGCAGAGCGGGACATTTTTTATGTTTATGTTTTGTAAATCCATAGGTGTTGAATGTAGGACTGTAAACTCTTTTCGCTTACCTGATTGGATGGCATCTATGGGAATAATTCTATGCCCAATGAATTTCCCACCTTCCTCATAGGCCACTATCCTTATTGAGGCCAATTCTGTCAACAGAATCTGTTCACAAACACACCAGAATTGTGAACAATCATAGTTTATTATATCAGATAAAAAAAAAAAAACACTTTAAATGATTAAAATATATAGCATTTAAAATATATTTACACACCTTCTCAAACACAAAGGGCTCCTCATTCCACACAGGGTTGATGGCATTTGGTACGGCAGTGTATTTGGTGCGGTATTTGCGTTTGGGGTCTCCAGGCAAGCCAATGATCTCCACCTCCACTGCTGATTTTACGTTCTTATCAGATAGGAACTGGCCTGAGTAGATCTGTAAGAACATAGATAATGGGAAACAGGTATATTATATTATAATAATAAATGATATATTATAATAATATAGGTTTTTATAAAAACCTATAATAAAACATAAAAATACATGAAGATGCCTTACAGAATTTGACTGTTTTTATATTTGAAGACACTATAATAAGGGATAATCAATAATCACTGATAAACCAAGGACTTTTTCTATGTTTATTAGAAAAAGGTCTATGACATACACCTACCATCTACACTGCCCTCCAAAAGTTTGGAAACGCCTGAACAAAATAGGGTTTTTGGGCAATATCAGCATAAATCCTCTTTAGTTAGTGACCATTTTGCATTGATAATAAGGGACAACACAAACTATGAAAACATATTTTATTAAATAAAAAGTTTATGAACATAAACATGAACATAACATAGAAAAATACTCAAATTTT